TGTTGAATTTGTACTATAGTATGTTATTTGAAAATTGAGTCTATTTTATCTTGAAAACTAAGAACACCGAGAATTTTATATTCGAACTCGTGGACATTTAAGAAGAAAAATAGTCAAATTTTACAGCATATTTATGTGAGAGTGTAACTTTACGAGAATGTATCTTGAAGCATAACCTGGGTTGAACAAAATTAATTACGTACCCCTTTAACTAAAATGACCAATTTTAGATTAAAAAATAAAACAAATCATTTTAAATCTCACGTGACCGATGGGACGTAACAAAGCATGAACATATCGGCATGGATGCTCGTAATAACCATAAAAAGGCTAGATTGTTTTTTCTATTAAGGAAAGTTATCTGGGAAAGTATGAACAGAAAATTAAACTAATTTTGCTACAGTATCCAAGCAGACCATTTATTATGTGGTTAATGATGTAACAATTTCAGTTATTATATTGATGAACAATAATGCAGCATCTTACAATTTACTTGAGGTCAAGCTAGAAGAAGTGTATTTCATTATTTTGTGAATCCTTGTTTAATCCTTTTTAACTAAATTAGAGGAATAAACTGAACAGCATGCATTCACTTAAATTAGTTCATCGCTTACTGCAATACAAGATTCCGCTTAAGACATTTTATAACCTTGTATTGAAAGCAGCCCAAACAACTTGGATTATACAATATGACAACATAGTTACTAGCAGGGTTGAATGAAATGAAACTATGCGAGCTGATTTAAATTGGATTTCATTTTTTAGTAGAAGGAGACAGATTGAAAGGGACCGATTCATTAAAAAAAATTGAATTTGAGAGAGAAGAGAAGAACTTTTTTGGTGGGGAAACCATAAAAGAGGCAGAAAGTCAGAAAGATGAAGCTCTTTTCCTCTAAACATCATCTGGGTGCTTTTTCCATCAGCTTCGTGCTTTGTTGCTTCTTGCTGCTTTTGGATTCTTCAACTGCACTTCCTCTCTGTCTCAACTCAACTCAGGTCTGCATACTTTTTCTTCATTTGCCATTAAATTTTGAGTTTTGTGTTGGTTACGAGGGATCAGGAGGGCAATTAGAACATGATGTGTCAAGTCCCTTTGTTGATCTAACCGACCAAGTTCATTTTGATACTCAACTTGGAATGATGGGAATGACATTTCATCCAAACTTTGCAAACTATGGTCGATTCTTTGCTTCATTTAACTGTGATAGTAGTCCGGATATATTGAAAGTGTTGATGCACTTGAAGCCACAGTACACAGAGCATTTGAGAAATCATAACTCCACGATCAGCATTCAACAATAATGAGCTTGGAGTGCAAACCTTGAAAAGTGTTTGATGCGTCTTAGCTATACCATTTGTCACAGTCCAAACAACTGAATAGTGTTGCTATTTTTGAAAAAGATATCATTGAACTGAGGCTGAGCAACTGTTTGCAGTAATTGGAGTATGGTAGCAAACAACAAATGTCGACAATCTCGTCCATACAAGTGGCAATGTTGGAATGACATAATAGTTTGGGACGGTTTGTTACAGCTGGATAAGCAATTACGACATGTAGAGGTAAAATCAGTTTGAACATTCAAGAATTGACAACTCACTGCAAAAGAACACTGTTCAACCTGACACTGAATTTTGCTTTGATCAATTGGTGTCCTTAATTAAACAGAGAAAGAGGACAAGACAAGGGAATCAAGACTAATTTCATTTATACACCAATCAAAACCAATCATCAATCAAAATGCTATAATGGGGTATTTTTTTTATCTGCAGTACAACACAATTAATGGTACAATGCATTATTTTATCATTCAACTCTTTCTTGGAGACGATGCTTGCCAAAAGGACTGAAGAGTTGAGATAAGGATCAAATATTTTGTATTTATCAATTTCGAGTTATTCAACAAAAGTCAAGTTGTTATATTGCTAAACATTTTAACGAATAGAGTGTATTATTAAGAGTTTAATTGGTATGCTAGTATATATAGTTTTACACTATTAACTAATAAAAAATATCTTTAGTACAATTTAAAATGGTTATTGTATTCATAAAAACTATTACTGTAAAATACAATAAAGTTAATATATTATAATTAAAATTTTCTGTCAAATGTTGTTTCAAATGTGAAAATGGTTATGCATGTACTAATTAATTAACCACCTATGATCATAAACCAATGTGGTGGTATCATTCCATTTGCATTGCATGCAGGCGAAGTTGAAATTCCCTATCACCATGGCATAGTGAAAATCTCAACATCAAATTACATACTCTTTCTTGTCTTTACGGAATGCATATTTAAGGTTTCACCGATAGAAGAGAATATGTTCACGAAGAAGAAAATGCAGAGAAAAAAAGAAGAAATAAACTTCAAACATTAATTCAAAACACTTTGATTTTTTAATCACTAGTTTTATAATATCATTTTTTTATTGTAATTAATTTTTGGTGGAACATTTGCACATTTCCGTTACACTAATTAGTATGAATGAGTTAGTCGGGTTAATATATTTTTGGTGGAACAATCTTCCTGTTAAGGGTGAGTCCCTTCATATAGGTACACTCCTTATTCAGTGGAAGCATTTTTATTCAACTACAACCATGAGTAGCCCTTTGTAGCATCATTCATCTTAATATGATTTACTTACCTGAATATCCTTTTCTAGGAAGACTTTCGGTATAAGAACCAATAGTCACCAAGACGAACCATCGACTCTGATACCACTGTTGGTCTATCAAGAGGATGTTTATCGGGGAGACACAAACACTAATGAGATCTAAACCCAATCATATAAGAGATTGACACCACTCTCTACCAAAAATCTTAAGACAATGAGTTAATGGGTCTTTCATATTTATATAGTGATCTACTTTTTCATTTTTATCCAATGTAAGACTTAGATTCACATTTGGATTCAACACAAAAGTATATGAAATAAATTAGGAGAATACAATATATTCAAATTTACTTAATTATAAAAATTTATTTTTTAAAAATTCAATTAACTTATTCTTAACTAAATTCATAAGGAGTTAATTTATGTTAAATAAGTTGTTTCGTTTTAATATTTGTGATATTGAATATTCAATTTACATTGAGGTTGTTGGTGATGTTGTTTTAGAAAATAAGTGTGATCCTTTTAGTCATTTTAGTATATGAGTGTTTAGTAAAATCAAATCGATTTCTTATTTTTGTTGAATAATATTTGCTTGTTCTAATGTGACATTGTTATTAATATGTCTATTTTTCTTTTATGATATACTGTGACTCTAATTTTAGTCAATACAAAACTTTATCCTCATGATGTATAAGATAATCATGGAATCATATTTATCTGACAAATAAAAAAGAGAGTTTCTTCTTATTATATTTATATAGATAAAATTATCTTTGATGTTTCTTAATTGAAGCTCTGAGTTTTTTACCTAGTTTTGGTTTAATTCACAATATAAGTTTTAAGGATATCTATATGTGATAACCCATTCACAATTCATGACTTTTTGAGTTGTGAATTTGTTGATTCAAACATCCAATATTTTAATAGATTGTATTTCTGGTGTAAGGTTGGATGTTCATTTAAAATAATTTCCTAGTTTTCACACTTTAATTCTATCCTCTCTGTGTTAAAGTAATTTTTTCGTCAACCAATCGAGAATACTTGTTAAAGCTGTTTTGATGCTAAAATTAGCTTAGATTTGATCCGTTAAATCAATTAATGTTATAATAAAAGTGAAATTAATATCCCAACAACCATACCTTTTTCTGTGGATTTTTTGATTAGGGTCGGCTTAATTACGACCAATTTCCCTTTAAGTCTAATTATTGATATGTTTACGCTAATTAGATGTTTGACTAATTTTAATCGGTCACACTATTGCGGTTGGTATGTATTAGTTGGTGTTGGAAGTCCCACATCGACTAGAGATAAGGTCAAATTATAATATATAAGTGAGGTGCAAACCTCACCTTACAAGCCGATTTTGTGGGCTTGAGTTAGGCTTAAAGTCCATTTCTAACATGGTATCAGAACCATGGTTAGAGTCTAGGATGTTGCTATTTTAAATAATTTGAAACCCTAATTTTACTTTCCCAACACCCACCCACGAAACTCTCTTCCCCTTTCCCCATTTCCGTTTCACCTCCCCACCTCCCGCACTTACATTCCTTTTTCTTCTGAGTGTTTTTTTTGGTTTGAAAGCTTCCATTGCCGCCGTAGTGTGAAGGAGTGTCGCCGCCGTGGTGTGGATGAGCGTCCAGAGCGTCGATCAACGTGAGGAAGTATACATCAAAGAAGGTGACATCCTTCAACGGATGTCCCCTAATAAAACAAATCCTAAAATAAAAAACGTAACCCGAAAAACGGATGTCGACATCCGTTTTACCTTAAAGATGTTGACATCTGTTGAAGGATGTGACCTCCGTATGTCGACATCCGTTTTACCTTAAAGATGTTGACATNAAAGGCACGACCTGATTATAAAGGCATTGAAAGAAATGATGTTAGAGATATATTGAAAGCATTCATGGTGCTGGTAGTATCTGAAATGATTAAGTATGCAGATACAGTGATTTTTCAAAATTTAGGATGTGGAGATGGCAGACAATATTGAATAAAATACTAAAACATATCTTTATGCTTACAGAAAAAATAGATATATTTTTAAATTTTAAAATTATCAAATACCGATTTTACAGGGTGGATAGGGTTGTCTACATTTTTTTGCTCTATTTTATCATGTTTTAGCTTTAGTTGGAACCTATTTTCTTTGTTTTGAAACATTGCAAAGCATATTTTGGATTTTGGACACATTAGAGACATTTTGTAATGGTTAAGACTCAAAAAGGGACTGGATCTTTTTTGTTTTTTCTTGTATGTGTTTTGGTCTTGGGTTCAGTCATGCCTATGGTTATTTTGGTACATTCGTGCTTTGCTGATGGGTAGGTTACTTAATAGATGGGAAACAGTATACCTTTATCATGGTATGATTCTTCAAAACAAAAGCTTGGACGGTAACAATTTCTAAAATGCAGGGGCAGCTTCCTCCACCTCCTCCTCCACCAAAGACTGGTATGGTTCAGTCTGATGGTTCTGTTTCAACGGAGAGTAAGAATTCACTATCAAACCAGGAGATTCCAAAAATGGTTGCCGGGCATCCTCCTCCAAGGCAGCAACCTCCTGTTCCAGGGCCTGCTTTAATCCCAGGTTTACAGCCTGATGTATTACCCCCAGGAATATCCCGTTTTCCACCACCCCCACCACCACCTGACATGAGGCCTCCTTTACCTGGGGCAGTACTCCCTGGTCAGGCACCACCACCTGGAATGATGGTTCCCCTAATCCATAGGCCACCATATGGCCCTCCACCTGGTCCTCCACCAATGATGAGGCCTCCACTTCCACCTGGTCCTCCTCCAAACTTCCAGGAAGAGGATCATATGGCAATTAGGCCGCCTCCCCCCCCTCCGAAACCATCTTATGTTAAATCTGCTGCTTCCACTGTTGTTAAAAGGCCATTAGCGCAACACACTCCAGAACTCACAGCTATGGTAAGTTGAGGGACTTTTTGGCTTCCATTTATATTGGCTCTTGAATTTTTTGCTTTTAGATTTGCCTGATCTATATTATTTATTTATACTTTAATTTTGTAACAAGTTTTTGAGTAAAAACTTATTTCTGTTGTATTTTGATAATAAGCTTTCTTGAACTCTAACTAACGAAGTTAATGTCATCATACTGTAATCAAGTCTGGTGTTAATTTTTTTTTGCTACTGCATTTAGTGTTTTGGATATCTTATCATGAACCAAACTAATAACAACTAAATGATTTATATGTGCATTTGCTCATACTCGTACGGGGAAATTTTCTTAACGAGAAGAAATGTTGCCTGTGAGTTTGAATTTGTCTGAGCCTGAGGAAGTTAAATAAGTTAATTTAACCGATGAGAAACAATGTTTTGATAATTCCTTTCCATGTATAACCAATTAACACATCTTTTACAAGAATAATATAATAATATCTGGGCTAGTCAATGATGTTTTCACAAGTGGTTAAATAAGTGATTGTTGACTGGTTATATAGTTTTGTCAAATTGTCAATATAACAACATCCCGAGCTCTTAACAACTGAGAACTTAAAAGTAGGATCACTTTGTTATTATTTGAATCTATCGTGTATTCCTCTAATTGCTTTATCTTGTTTTTTACTAGGTTCCTGCATCTGTGCGAGTGAGAAGAGAAACTGCAATGAGTAAAACAAAACCGAAACCAGCAGTGCCAACCTCTAGGACCGTCTCTGGGACATCAGGGCCAACTATTGTAAAATCAGAGTCAGTGAGCTCGTCATCAGCTCCAAAAGGCCCGAGCATTGATGACTCTTATACGGCTTTCTTGGAGGACATGAAAGCCCTTGGTGCACTTGATGGTTGAGATTACGACGAGTGGCGGTGCGGTTAATGGTGATGGATGTGCTCAATGTAATTTGTTTATGTTCAAATATTCACTCTCTTGACCTCACTCAATTTTTTGTTCTTGATGAAAGTTAATCAAGATCGTCTACACTCGTTACTTCCAATTTTTCTCCTTTGTTACTCTAGTTTAAATTAGTGAACTGTCTTTTAGTTTATAAAACAATGTTCGTTATTAACCAATGTTGTGTAGATACTTAAAAAAAGGTACATTATATATATTAAAAACTAGATTTAAAATTTTGAAAAACACTTTTTAAAGTAAAGTGGTACAAGTTTTTTACCTATTGGAAGTGTAATGGGTATGGATTCTTGTATGTTGAATTTGTACTATAGTATGTTATTTGAAAATTGAGTCTATTTTATCTTGAAAACTAAGAACACCGAGAATTTTATATTCGAACTCGTGGACATTTAAGAAGAAAAATAGTCAAATTTTACAGCATATTTATGTGAGAGTGTAACTTTACGAGAATGTATCTTGAAGCATAACCTGGGTTGAACAAAATTAATTACGTACCCCTTTAACTAAAATGACCAATTTTAGATTAAAAAATAAAACAAATCATTTTAAATCTCACGTGACCGATGGGACGTAACAAAGCATGAACATATCGGCATGGATGCTCGTAATAACCATAAAAAGGCTAGATTGTTTTTTCTATTAAGGAAAGTTATCTGGGAAAGTATGAACAGAAAATTAAACTAATTTTGCTACAGTATCCAAGCAGACCATTTATTATGTGGTTAATGATGTAACAATTTCAGTTATTATATTGATGAACAATAATGCAGCATCTTACAATTTACTTGAGGTCAAGCTAGAAGAAGTGTATTTCATTATTTTGTGAATCCTTGATTAATCCTTTTTAACTAAATTAGAGGAATAAACTGAACAGCATGCATTCACTTAAATTAGTTCATCGCTTACTGCAATACAAGATTCCGCTTAAGACATTTTATAACCTTGTATTGAAAGCAGCCCAAACAACTTGGATTATACAATATGACAACATAGTTACTAGCAGGGTTGAATGAAATGAAACTATGCGAGCTGATTTAAATTGGATTTCATTTTTTAGTAGAAGGAGACAGATTGAAAGGGACCGATTCATTAAAAAAAATTGAATTTGAGAGAGAAGAGAAGAACTTTTTTGGTGGGGAAACCATAAAAGAGGCAGAAAGTCAGAAAGATGAAGCTCTTTTCCTCTAAACATCATCTGGGTGCTTTTTCCATCAGCTTCGTGCTTTGTTGCTTCTTGCTGCTTTTGGATTCTTCAACTGCACTTCCTCTCTGTCTCAACTCAACTCAGGTCTGCATACTTTTTCTTCATTTGCCATTAAATTTTGAGTTTTGTGTTGGTTACGAGGGATCAGGAGGGCAATTAGAACATGATGTGTCAAGTCCCTTTGTTGATCTAACCGACCAAGTTCATTTTGATACTCAACTTGGAATGATGGGAATGACATTTCATCCAAACTTTGCAAACTATGGTCGATTCTTTGCTTCATTTAACTGTGATAGTAGTCCGGATATATTGAAAGTGTTGATGCACTTGAAGCCACAGTACACAGAGCATTTGAGAAATCATAACTCCACGATCAGCATTCAACAATAATGAGCTTGGAGTGCAAACCTTGAAAAGTGTTTGATGCGTCTTAGCTATACCATTTGTCACAGTCCAAACAACTGAATAGTGTTGCTATTTTTGAAAAAGATATCATTGAACTGAGGCTGAGCAACTGTTTGCAGTAATTGGAGTATGGTAGCAAACAACAAATGTCGACAATCTCGTCCATACAAGTGGCAATGTTGGAATGACATAATAGTTTGGGACGGTTTGTTACAGCTGGATAAGCAATTACGACATGTAGAGGTAAAATCAGTTTGAACATTCAAGAATTGACAACTCACTGCAAAAGAACACTGTTCAACCTGACACTGAATTTTGCTTTGATCAATTGGTGTCCTTAATTAAACAGAGAAAGAGGACAAGACAAGGGAATCAAGACTAATTTCATTTATACACCAATCAAAACCAATCATCAATCAAAATGCTATAATGGGGTATTTTTTTTATCTGCAGTACAACACAATTAATGGTACAATGCATTATTTTATCATTCAACTCTTTCTTGGAGACGATGCTTGCCAAAAGGACTGAAGAGTTGAGATAAGGATCAAATATTTTGTATTTATCAATTTCGAGTTATTCAACAAAAGTCAAGTTGTTATATTGCTAAACATTTTAACGAATAGAGTGTATTATTAAGAGTTTAATTGGTATGCTAGTATATATAGTTTTACACTATTAACTAATAAAAAATATCTTTAGTACAATTTAAAATGGTTATTGTATTCATAAAAACTATTACTGTAAAATACAATAAAGTTAATATATTATAATTAAAATTTTCTGTCAAATGTTGTTTCAAATGTGAAAATGGTTATGCATGTACTAATTAATTAACCACCTATGATCATAAACCAATGTGGTGGTATCATTCCATTTGCATTGCATGCAGGCGAAGTTGAAATTCCCTATCACCATGGCATAGTGAAAATCTCAACATCAAATTACATACTCTTTCTTGTCTTTACGGAATGCATATTTAAGGTTTCACCGATAGAAGAGAATATGTTCACGAAGAAGAAAATGCAGAGAAAAAAAGAAGAAATAAACTTCAAACATTAATTCAAAACACTTTGATTTTTTAATCACTAGTTTTATAATATCATTTTTTTATTGTAATTAATTTTTGGTGGAACATTTGCACATTTCCGTTACACTAATTAGTATGAATGAGTTAGTCGGGTTAATATATTTTTGGTGGAACAATCTTCCTGTTAAGGGTGAGTCCCTTCATATAGGTACACTCCTTATTCAGTGGAAGCATTTTTATTCAACTACAACCATGAGTAGCCCTTTGTAGCATCATTCATCTTAATATGATTTACTTACCTGAATATCCTTTTCTAGGAAGACTTTCGGTATAAGAACCAATAGTCACCAAGACGAACCATCGACTCTGATACCACTGTTGGTCTATCAAGAGGATGTTTATCGGGGAGACACAAACACTAATGAGATCTAAACCCAATCATATAAGAGATTGACACCACTCTCTACCAAAAATCTTAAGACAATGAGTTAATGGGTCTTTCATATTTATATAGTGATCTACTTTTTCATTTTTATCCAATGTAAGACTTAGATTCACATTTGGATTCAACACAAAAGTATATGAAATAAATTAGGAGAATACAATATATTCAAATTTACTTAATTATAAAAATTTATTTTTTAAAAATTCAATTAACTTATTCTTAACTAAATTCATAAGGAGTTAATTTATGTTAAATAAGTTGTTTCGTTTTAATATTTGTGATATTGAATATTCAATTTACATTGAGGTTGTTGGTGATGTTGTTTTAGAAAATAAGTGTGATCCTTTTAGTCATTTTAGTATATGAGTGTTTAGTAAAATCAAATCGATTTCTTATTTTTGTTGAATAATATTTGCTTGTTCTAATGTGACATTGTTATTAATATGTCTATTTTTCTTTTATGATATACTGTGACTCTAATTTTAGTCAATACAAAACTTTATCCTCATGATGTATAAGATAATCATGGAATCATATTTATCTGACAAATAAAAAAGAGAGTTTCTTCTTATTATATTTATATAGATAAAATTATCTTTGATGTTTCTTAATTGAAGCTCTGAGTTTTTTACCTAGTTTTGGTTTAATTCACAATATAAGTTTTAAGGATATCTATATGTGATAACCCATTCACAATTCATGACTTTTTGAGTTGTGAATTTGTTGATTCAAACATCCAATATTTTAATAGATTGTATTTCTGGTGTAAGGTTGGATGTTCATTTAAAATAATTTCCTAGTTTTCACACTTTAATTCTATCCTCTCTGTGTTAAAGTAATTTATTCGTCAACCAATCGAGAATACTTGTTAAAGCTGTTTTGATGCTAAAATTAGCTTAGATTTGATCCGTTAAAACAATTAATGTTATAATAAAAGTGAAATTAATATCCCAACAACCATACCTTTTTCTGTGGATTTTTTGATTAGGGTCGGCTTAATTACGACCAATTTCCCTTTAAGTCTAATTATTGATATGTTTACGCTAATTAGATGTTTGACTAATTTTAATCGGTCACACTATTGCGGTTGGTATGTATTAGTTGGTGTTGGAAGTCCCACATCGACTAGAGATAAGGTCAAATTATAATATATAAGTGAGGTGCAAACCTCACCTTACAAGCCGATTTTGTGGGCTTGAGTTAGGCTTAAAGTCCATTTCTAACATGGTATCAGAACCATGGTTAGAGTCTAGGATGTTGCTATTTTAAATAATTTGAAACCCTAATTTTACTTTCCCAACACCCACCCACGAAACTCTCTTCCCCTTTCCCCATTTCCGTTTCACCTCCCCACCTCCCGCACTTACATTCCTTTTTCTTCTGAGTGTTTTTTTTGGTTTGAAAGCTTCCATTGCCGCCGTAGTGTGAAGGAGTGTCGCCGCCGTGGTGTGGAAGAGCGTCCAGAGCGTCGATCAACGTGAGGAAGTATACATCAAAGAAGGTGACATCCTTCAACGGATGTCCCCTAATAAAACAAATCCTAAAATAAAAAACGTAACCCGAAAAACGGATGTCGACATCCGTTTTACCTTAAAGATGTTGACATCTGTTGAAGGATGTGACCTCCGTATGTCGACATCCGTTTTACCTTAAAGATGTTGACATCTGTTGAAGGATGTGACCTCCGTTTAAAGGTTACATTTTTTATTTTAGGGTTTGTTTTCAAGGTTTATTCGAATACGCACTTGGAGGAAGCACGACAAGCACTGCACCACGAGAGCGAATGCATACTTGATAATTCTTTCCGCTACCACCATCCTTTGCAACTTGTAGTATCTCACAACGATGAAAGAAAGAGAGAAAGAAATATAATGTTAAAATGAAAGAAAAATATTTTACTCATGTACGGGACTAGAATATGTTATTAGTAAAATAGGTTATGAATGGGTAAAATTAAAAAATAATAACCCTAAAAATAAAATTTTAGTGAGGGGCAAAATAATAAAGGGGAGGTGGAGGGAGAAAGGTGTGGTGGTGGAGGGAGCAACACCCTAAAGTCTATCCTAGCGATATTTGTTCGGATGTTGCTCCCTCCACCACCCCAAGTGCTCTTGCACCTCTCCACTATTTTCTTTTATTCCAAAAATACTTTACACCTCCCCACTATTTTCTTTTATTTCAAAAATACCCCACACCTCCCTATTATATTCAACAATATTTCTCTTTCTCTCTCCACATTAATGGAGCATTCACATGGCTCAGATTTAAACTTGTGATATATTGCAAAATTTTATTTACATTTTCCTTTAAATAAGTTTGATTCGATCTTATTTTCACTGTTAAATATATTTTTTTTTTCAAATTACTTAATAAATGGTAAAATTTTGTTCTAAATTTCTAGAAAAATGTTTATATATATGTGTGTTTTTTTTTACATTTAATATCTATAATTTTTAACATTATATTATGTTTTAACTTACTCACATGTTTGACTCAAATAACTTGAATAAAGTATTTAATTTATTAGATAAATAATATAAAAATATTATTAAATACTTAAAATATAAAAGAAAAGTTATTTGTTAAAGATTTGGAATTTATTTAGTTCTTTCGTCGTTATAAAGTTAGTATATAATAATAATAATAATAATATATTATTTATTATTAATATTATTATGTTTATTATTTTGTATTTGCATCTAACTTTTAAGTTTATAAAATGGAAGTGGTAGAAGCACTAATAGTGAAGTTTCCTCTGAATTTTATATTTTGCAATATATCACAAGTTTAAATGTAAGCCATATGAATGGTTCATTAATGTAGAGAGAGAAAAAGAGAGATTGTAGAGGATAGTGGGGAGGTGTAGGGTATTTTTGGAATAAAAGAAAACAGTGGGGAGGTATAGAGTATTTTTGGAATAAAAGAAAATAGTGGAGAGGTGCAGAAGCACTTGGGGTGGTGGAGGGAGCAACACCCTATTTGTTGTTTGTTGGGCATATTGTTTCATCCCCTATTGGGCCACTATCGGACCACCCATTAAAAATGTCTAGTCCCCCGGTCAAGTTAAAAATGTCTAGTCCCCCGGTCGAGATGTATATACCTCGGCGTGAGGGGTGTGTGTTGGAAGTCCCACATAAGTGGGCATTCTATTATTCTATTTCACCCGCTATCGGATCAGTAAGGTGCAAACCTCACCTTACAAGCCGGTTTTTGTGTGGTTGAGTTAGGCTTAAACCCACTTTCTAATAGTTGGAACATATAGTACATAGATGGTCAAACCTTAAGTACAATTATAGACTTGGAACATATAGTACATATACGGTCAAACCTTAAGTACAATTATAGACTAGAAGAGAAAATCGTTTGTGGTCGCATACATGGATGCCTCGCGAATAATGCTATTAGCGCTGACACCAAATTTGTAACATCATGTTCCTTCAACTATCAGATGGTGTTGGATATGACGATCTTGGTGGCACTGATTACATCATTCTTTCTTGGACTATAATATGTTAACAACTTTTTTTAATAACTTTTTGACAATAGACTATGTGTCACTATTTTATTGGTTCGTATATTTAAAATAGACCAATCACAAGCTATGTAAAAAAGTTATAAAAAAAATTTGTTAAAAATACATTTTCATTCTTTCTTACTTTCCTTTACCTACTCTCTTCCTTCATTTCCTTTCTTATTCCACTTTCTCCTTATCCCTCTGCAACAGTCACCTTCAAGTTGTTTTGTAATTAAATAAATATAAAAAAACAAATAAAAATGTATTTTACAATGTATTTATAAAGAAGAGAAAGCAAATAGAAGATTTATAACTTATGATTAGGGATGATACAGCATAAAAATTATATAAATAACATTTAAAAGAGATTAAATAAAAAATTAAGTTACAACTGTCCTTATTTAAGACAAACAAGTTTCACAAGGTGGATAAATGTTCTTAAATATTGATTATTAGGGTATACTAACTTTTTTTTCTACTTTCTTCTACATTTATTATAACATGTAAGGTAATGCTTGGTACAAAAATGATGAATATATAGCTAAAAGAACTCATAACTATAATCGTAAAAGATACAGTGTTTTCTTTTTTTCACAAGTTGATATAAATAAAAGCCTACTTAAAGATGACCCGAAACAAAAGAAGGAAAGAAGTACTGAAGATCATTATGAAACGTGACATCCGATCAAATCCAAATGTGCAGTTTGAAATCACGTTCATGCTAATTAGGGATTCTGAAAAAAGTAAAATAATTAATAATACTGATAGATATAGGTGAAGTAAAAAATAACTCAGTTGAATTTATCTAAATTATTTTTTTAAGTTCAGTTTAATTCTTTTAAACTATTTTATAATTTAATTATAAATTTTTATAGTACAGGACAGTGCAGATTTTTCATCCTAAATACTGTTGTCCTTTACAGTGAAATTTCAGTACAATTGTTGTAATGAAAAGCTTTACAGATAATTACATAGCTATTTCTTTTCACCAATTTATTCAGTTATTTTTTGTAATATCCAACATTTCGTGCATTAATTTCCTATTCTTATTATCTTGGGGATGATTCTTTTTCACAGAAGAATTTGTTGTGATATACTGTGTGACCGTATCAGAATCTTGCAAAGACAGACCCAATCAAGTTCAGTCATATTCCATTACATATCATCAAGAGTGGAATATTTGACTCGACCCAATTCACTGAGTAGGCTCGTACGAACCATAGCTTTAATAATGACAATTTCTTTTTCACGTTTCTGACTCTAATTTCTCTTTTTCATCTTCTAACCTCTTCCACAAGGAAGCTATAAACTTATTAAAAATAAAACCAAAAGAAGTTAACAAATTTCAATCTAGCTTTGTATATTTGCATGATGATGAAGAAATTATGCCCCACATGCACAGCAGAAAACCTAGTATTAATTATACTTTTCTGTCTCTCCACTCCCTCGGCAATTATGGTAAACAGAACATTGATAGTTAGGGAAAAACTCCCTCACATTCTTCAAACACTTTTTTTCTTTTACTTTAATCAGATGAATTGACTAATAAACTTAACAATATCTATCCCTGTAGGAATATGCAATCTGATATTATGTATTACTTTACATTACTTGCTTTTTTCTTCCAGCGACAAGAAAGTTCAACTTGTTTTCATTCTGGATCAAGCTTTAAACTTTTGTTGCACTGATGAATTTGCAAAAATGCTACCTACCTTTTTAAGGCAGAAAGGAGAATCAAATCAGTGATGTCGAAATTCTTCAGTTTGAACACTTCTGTTCGACAAGTTAGAGCTTTCCGTTTTTAAACTTAACATGTCAGATTTAGCTTTTGAGAAGTTGAAAATCATTGACTGAACAAATTGTAACTTAGTCAAAACTATAGTCTTACATTTTGAAAAACAAAACCAATCTTGTTTAGCCTCTTGTGTTTACATCAAAGTTTCTCAAGCAGCACAGTAACAAACTGTTTCAACTTACACACTTGGTCATGGTTAAAATCTGTTAAATAACACAGGAAAAGATAAGAATCAGTTCAGATTTTATTGAGGTAAGGCTAATCCAAATTCAGTCAACTTATCGAAATAGAAGAATGAAAACTTATCGAAATAGAAGAATGAAAACGTGTAAACTAAATCAACAGTGTAATCCAAAAGGGAAGAAAAAAGTAAAAAATTTTCAAATACCACCAAAGTAAAGGCAATGAGCAGTGTAATCCAAAAGGGAACAAAACAGTAGATTTAATCTTTCTTAGATTTGACCCAAGGTGAAACCAAATCTAACCTCATAGCACCAAATTTCAGGTACTGTCCCTCTCTCTATCATCACTGCCAGTGACCACTCTTTCTATGTCTTCAGTCTTTGTTTTTCGTATTTTGCAGTTACATTCATCCACTTGAGCTTCTCATAGGAGACACTCAGCTTTGGATTTGAGGGTTTGGATTGGACCCTTTGGTCCTTCCCATCTCCTCTCTCTTTTCTCTTTTCTTTTTTAATTTCTTCTCTTGCTCTTTCTAGTTTCCGCAATCTAATGCTAACTCATCAATCATGATTCTCCAACTCTAATCTCAAACTCACTTCCCTAAACCCTAATTTAATATCTCTTGTCATGTCCAACGGATCCCCTCCTCCGGTGACTGGCGAACACTCCCTGCCACCGGAAGCCGACCCCTCAAACCATGTTTCCGATTCGAAGGATGAAACTGCGGTGACTCCTCCCCTAACCACAAGGAGTACCCGCCCGTCCCGGGCGTGCACCATGCGCGCCGCCTCTCGCCTCCTTTCCTCGCCCGTGGCTGCTAAGAAGGAGGTTTCTCCGCCACCGACGCTGCAATGCAGCAAGATTTTTACTCCGCTGGTGGAGCCGCCCTCGCCGTCACAGTTGTCACGGTGGCACCTGCGGACGATGTGGGAGTTTGCTTCCGTACTGAATTTCTTGCATGTGAGTTGGGAAGTGTAATCTTTGACTTTGGTTTGCTTTTGTTTGTGTTTTTTGTATGTGAAAAGTTGTGCCTTGTTGCAGCTATTTATGCCTCTTTTGAATATCTCACTGGAATTTTCTGCGGAAGAGTTGGAGACAGCCCTTCTTAACCCCAACGATACTTTGTTTCATGTTCATATGCCTTTGCTAAAGGTTGGTTGGTGTTATTACTAATTTTTGTTTACTTTTCCTTTTAGTTTGTTTTTTGGTCCTTGGTTGTTGTTTATGGCATTACTTTTTTCTTATGTGGATGTATATCTTAATCTTTGTGGTTGAGTTTGTTTATTGCTTGTTGTTGTTGTGATTACTCTGCACGTGTTTATTATGATTCTATCATCATGTTTTTTCCTGTTTTGGGCTGAATTCTCTTATTTTGAATGTTTATGCTCCAATTTTACACCTTCAATTGGAGAATATAGTTTTGTAACCTGGTCGAGTTGGATGCTTGACTGTGAGAGAGATTTTAGAGTTATTAAGTAAAATCTTTGTTATTATAATTTGTTCAGGGAAGCTTCTGTGTGGTTGAACGAGAGTAGAGTGGATTAGACAAATATTTTGCATTGGTGTTATTTAGTTTTAGATCAAATATAATTTTAGTCAGCTGTTCGAATGTTTTTATGACCAAGCTAAAAAAGAAACCTGTGTTTTGGGATTGCTTATGAGTTTTGGCTTAGTCCCCTTGTGTCGTGTTTTTTATATTTTCTTTTTCAGTTTTACATATTTTTGACATAATGCAGATGATTGTTTCTCATAGGGTTGGCTTCTGTAATGCTGGATTTGATGGGTGGAAGAAGGCCTGTTATTTTTTGTTTTCAAATTACATTAATGATTGATGACTTAGCAATGAATTTGACCAATTTAATATTTTGAGATGAGATGGATATAATTCCTTGAATGATTGCAGGCTTGAGGTTGACCGAGGTTTGTAAGTAGAGAGAAGATTCTTGATTTTGAAAGTTTTATTAGAATTATGGAAAGCCCTTTATTCAGTAGCTAAAAGATAAATTTGAACTTGCCTTGTTCTTTTCATCTGCATTAGTGTTAAATTAGGAACATGTGGGGATTGTGATAAGCAGATCTGAAGGCACATTCTTCTGCTGAAGCATTGAATGCAACCATTAAGTTTGTTTATTCGATGCAGTTATAGCTTTTAAGAACGATAATGACCCTGTTTTCTTAATGTAAAGGTTACAATATGCAAAACAGTCTGAGTAAGTTTTAAAAGCTGTCACATTTATACATATGTTGACTTTGAACTCGCCCTTGATGTTCTGGATGCAAATCAATCTCAAAGGTGCTGTTGCAAGGAGTAATATATATATATATATATATATATATATATATATATATATATATATATGTATGTATGTATGTATGTATGTATGTATGTATGTACCTTGGATAGCATAAGGAAAGGCCAACTTAGTAGAATTTTCTAAACTTTGGGGTGCAAGTGACATCTACATACCTAGTTATTACTCAGTTTTCTTATATGAGTTCATACATGATTTAAATTATATGACTTGTGATGATTTAGCTCTTTATTGTATTGTTGCTTGTAAATGTATGTTAAAGGCAGGGTCTTCAACCAGTCTCTGATCTAATGAATCATCTACCTATGTTTATATAACTTTTGATTTTGAATTATTATAAAAAAAACCAACCATGATTTAGAATATTGGTGAAGGAAAGTGAAGGTTGTCAATTGAGTAATCACACAGTTTCAAATCTAATAATAGTTGTTTGAACTTGAATTAGTCATTTAGCTGTAATTCTTCTGCAATTATCTTTCTCAAGGTTTATTCCATAGCGAATCAGTACTTGCTTCTCCACGTGTTTGCAGAGCTGCTACTGGTCTGATAATAACATATATTTAATGTTTTGATAGGCAATCCCTCCTATTACCCGAATGGCACTCACACGAGATACTTGGATAACCGTATTGTGCAGGAAATTGAGAGATTGGTGGCATTGGGTAATAAGTTACTTTCAATCGGCAAGCTGATATTTTATAATAATGTCTATTTTACAATTTCTAGAGTTAATAAGAGGTTGGAATCCAAATGTAGGTTGCTGATGGGGATCTTCCAGTTGTTGCTTCCCATGGGTAAGCGCTCATGCAATTTTTGTAATCCTAGAATCTTAATCTTCAAATATCACAGGTCTTACGTTATGCTAATGTGACAGGCTGGAGATTGAAGTGTATAATTCACTTGATCCAGGGATCCGTGTTGTCATCTTAAAAGCAATATGCGACATTCGTGTTGAGGTATATTTTGTTTTTTAGTATTCATATATTAATATCTGTTTATCTCAAATGGATGAATTTTGGAATGGTAGGATGCGGCCCCTCTGTCTGATGTTTATATCTTAATGGATGACTGTATACATTTATGCTATGTAAAAGTTGTTCATGTTCTAGCATGGCATTTTCTGTTTTTTGGCATGCTCCTTGCATCTTTCTCATAAGCGAGTCCATTATACTTGTCTATTTAACGAGTTGTTCTAGTTTCTGTTTTTGAGGCCAATGCCTTTTGTGGCTGATATTCACCTACCATCCTAAAACTCACTTGGTGACACTTTACTCAGTTTTGCCGTTGTTTTGGAACCCTCCATAGATAGCCCTTTCCAAGACACTAACAACAACTCTGATACCAATGTATAAGCACTGAAGTATATGGGTAACCCACCTGTAAAAGCTAACCATTAACTGGAAAGAACTGAGCGCTTAAAACTCCATCAAGCATCCCATACTACTCAATTTAAGACATAGGCATCCTCCTAGGATTTTTACTTGGTCATGGTCGTGGGGAGCCCAATATCAAAACCTACTGGGTGCATCCACGATTCCCAATTTTTTTTACTCTATTGTCCCTTTTTGTATTATACCAGTGATGTAATAATCCAATTTGAGTAATTATTTTGCAGCAAGAAGACATCCGAAGTTATATTGACAACTCAATTAAACACGGTGTTAGGCTTTCAACGTTCCGTAAAGAGCGTATAGGAGGTGATTCGAACGGAATTTCTTATTGGTAATAAACTTTTTGTTTTGGGTTGTCATGGTCAAATTTTTAAATCTTATATTAGAAAGTATTGTGCTTATGGTTTTATTCATTTGAAATTTGACTGGTGCAGGTATGAAGATGATCCCATTATTGGACATAGGCTGTATCGAGAAATAAGGAAAACTGAAGTGATTCAAATGAAGAAAGGGAAAGCAAGAGGTTCCCAGGTTCTTTCTAGCACATCATACCAGTGGGAAGCAGTTGCTACCAATTTTGATGAATTTCAAGATGTTTCTGTAAGTTACTAAAGCTGGGGGTTGATCAACGTTCATTTTAAGGAGTTACTTATCACTTAAGCCTAGAACAACTAACATTTGTTGTAGTTGTCTTGATTGGAGTTGAGACTTTGGTGTTATAGATTTGAGATTTTGATAATTAATCACTTGTTAAATGTAAATGTAAATTACACAATAGTTTGTCATGCTAGAAAACACCATAAATCTACTTTATTGTGATTATAAACCCAAACATATAGTCTTATCAAACTTTCTTAGAATTTTAACTTTGTTGGAAATCCAAATTAGGCGTTCTCCTTGAAATCTGATGTTAGATTCAAAACTTATTTATCAGAATCTAATTATAGATCAAATGAAAACTTGCATGATTAAAATTACCTAAGGTTTTTTTCTTGCGATTTTTGTTGATTCTTTTTATTGTTTAATTTTGTAAAATCAAGAAGAAAATCATTAATTTTCATGGGTTCAGATTGTCTGTGCTAGAAAGAGAAATTTACTTTTGCAATAAGAAACTACGATAGAAAGGGTGGCACATCCTTTAGGATACAAATGCATACATAAGAAAATCAAAAAGTTATGTTGTAAGATATCTGTAGGGAAAAAGACATTGAAAATAATACTGAAGAAGCAAACATAAATGTGATTTCTAAAAATTCTGCGTGGAATTTGTTTTTTTTCAATTTTATAAATTGCTAGATAAATGTTTTCTTTTTCTTTAGTTGGTGTTTATTGGATTTAGTAGTTTTACCTCCGAAGGGCTGACAAAATCTTCTTTAATCATGTTGTGAGTGGTTCTCAAAAGTCAAAGACACCTTCATAGTAAATTGCTTCTAAACTAATCTGAAAGTTATTTGATCTCACAAGCAAACATTTTATATTCTTGTAGCTAAGCCTTTGTTGATTATATGATACGATCCAGAGATCAATGTTAGCGATTCATGAATCTGATGTTGAATGTGGAAGCATTTGCATTGTTCAACTGTTTGATGATTTTGCGCTTTAGTCATTGTTATTTAGTGAATACAACTTTATCCAGATGATCGGTTTGACCCTTATTTTTCTTTTTCATTTTCAGTAAGAACTAGTGTATCCTGCTATTGTTATTAATTAGGTTCATTTTTTTTCTTTACATGAGCCACGTCATGTATGAATTTAATCAATTCTTTCATCTGCTTACACAGGAGAAGCTTTTCTCAAGTAAAAACAGAACAGAGACTTCTCTGGGGAAAAAGCTGAAGATAGACATGCTTCCTGAAGTTGAGAAAGCTCATAAGGTAGGGGTTGAGAAATTTGAGAAGAATTGGTGTTTCTAAAATTTAATTCAATTTTTTTTTTAAAAAAAATATTGATTTATGGCCCTTGAAGGATCTTAATTGCATTTTCATTCAACTGTTACCAAATTGGTTTGGTTGGCACAGAAAAAGGAGAAATTGCTGAAAAAGCAACACAGACAAGCTCTTCTGCTTGATAATTACTTGGTTGTTGATGGGCTTGGTCCAGGGCGTTCTCTTCGTGACAGGAAACCTGTTACCTACACTTTTGGTAAGAGCTAGAAGTTTAATTATAACTGGAGCCATCATTTTCATGGTATTGGTAGTTGATACCTATAATTGGTTGATTTAAATTTTGTTTTAACAACTGTACTTTGTTTGTTAGTCCCGGCTCCTTCTGTATAAATGTATAAAATATATCTATATCTGGATTCTATTGTTCAGTTTCTAGAGCAATTTTTTTATCTCAACACCCTGCAAAGTAATCTGGGGAGTTGTTTCCAATATTTCCTAGTTGTTTTTATTCAATTAAGATTAATAACTTTGTCGTATTAGTGAGCTTGGGATTGTCTATTAATTCTACCTAACTATCTGGATAAATAGGACCTTTGGATATTTTATAGCACTAGATTGCAAAACATTTTGATGTAATATAATAGGTTGCTCTCCTTTTCCAACATAAACAATATTTCTTAAACAAAAAATGAGTTTCTGTGATTGCGCTCTGCTCCCAGGTACCTCCTATTTTTCTAAGCACTTAGGCTGGATCCATTGACCCATAACCTGCGGCTTATCTGGTTTTATTAGTAACCCGTTGCCCGGGATTGCCAGTGCTGCCATAGGGATACTGCAATGGAAATATTAATTGCGGCTCGTCTTTGTATCATCCAATGAGTATCTAATATATAATGTCATGTTGAAATTTTCCTTTTTACCCAGTCAGCCTTTACAACATGGTAGACTTCTTTTATAAAAATCTTATATTCTGTTTCATTCTCGGTTCTTGAGTAATTTTAAGAGGGTTAGCCCTTTTGCAATTGTAAGATAAACCTTGTGATTTGGTGGCCCCCAGTTTTAGGCTTGGAAACAACTCCCCTCATCTCATGGGTTGAAAATGCATATGTGACCCTCCCTGTTACCGCAATGGTTGTAGATTTTTCTTTTTCAAGCCATGATGCTTCAAGATCCAAAAAAAGACAACTCATGTTGCTCCCATCTTCACCTGTAGATTTTTTCATTTTCAGCAAGATGTTTGTGTCCTTTTTATTACTTGGGACATGATGGTTTGAACCTATGACTTGCAAATTATCCAAAACACTCACATCTAACCCACTCCTATTTGTTTTGTTCAAATTGTTGACTGAATTTTCTGATTTTCTTTTTTATTGAACTTGAATCAACTTACCCTTAGAAACCACTATGTGCTTGTTCTAAACCTAACCTGAAATTACTGTTATTGCAGATGATTTTGACCGGTCAATCAATGAGGCAATTAAAGTAACCAAGTATGTTCTTCTATCCTTTCATTCTTTGTTTGGTGTATGTATGAGGAGGGAGACAGGTCAGTCATACGCATTTACTTGTGCCATGTACTCATTTCTTGTATATATGTTCATTCCATTGTCAGGCAGAAACAGCCATCTCCAGAACGTATGCCCAGGAGAGAATCGGTAGCAAAACCTGAAGCTTTGACTAATGGTAAATATGGTCCTCTGCATGCCACACAAGATGCGAATTTTGGTATACCATCTTCAGAATCAGCTGACTCTTATGATGACAAGGAAGACCATGAAAATGACAACTTGGATCGAAGGTGTGTATTTTTTGTTTCTTTCAAATATGCTGAGATGTTTCTTCTCAAATCTAATTTTCACTAATTATCTGATTTCAACGTTAGCAATCGTCAAAGACGGAGACCTAATCGATATTCAGAAAGGGAGTTTGTTGGAGCAGTATCATACAATGAGGCAGACTTCGATAGTGATGATGATATTGTTGGCGAAGCTGTATATGATGAAGAATATCTAGAGAAACGCAAGCATAAAAGGAAGTCTTCCAGTAGCTCTGAAGGAGAAGAAGAACATGAGTGGGACGAATACAATGTTGAAGATGACGAAGAAGAAGAAGATGATGATGATGATGATTCCTTGAGCATGAGTGAGGATAGTGACAAACCCCGCAAGGTCAAACAGGTGCCAGGCCGTACTAGGAGAGAAACCAAACTGAGATCTGTGGGTGAGATTCAATCAAGTCTAAGACGCAGTAAAAGGGCAACTAGAAATTCTATAAATTACCGTCAATATGAGGCCTCAGAATCAGAAACCGAGTTTATCAAATCTGACAAGTCTGATACATCAGCTGATGATCACTCAGAACCCAGTGAGAATGGTGAATACATGATGGAAAGTGAAGATTCAGGTGGAAGTGATGATGAAGAACAAGAAACGAAAGTAGATGAGCCTATTACATATCCTGCAATAGAAGAGAATGAACAAAACCAAGCTCCTGAAAAATTAAGTAGTCCTGGTCAGGAGGATCCTGGTCAGGAGGAAGTTGAGAGCACAGGAAAGAGACGCTTCCTTGATTTGAATGAGCTTGCTCCTACCACTGGTTTTGATGATGGTCCAAACACAATAATGAAAGATGAAGACAATGATTACTGAAGCTTCTCATTCTGCTCGAGAGCAGGAATTGTAGTTTTCTATCAGAGAAGCCAATGTGTATGATAATAGAACTATAAATTTTGTTAAGCCCCAGAGAAAGTTACGATCAGGTTTCTTCTTGAGGCACAGTCTGAGAAGCCCTTGGTGCATGATTTGCCACCAGAAGCAGCGTGATACGCAGTTATGTAGATTAGGTAGTCACTTTTTCTTTAATATTTTTACTACATTCAAAGGGTCCTCCAAAATGAATGAGAAATTGTTGGGCGTTATTTAGCCCGTCCAATCCGTGTACAATAACTGTCAACAGCTACTGTAACTTTAGAAAATATGTGGCTTTCAGATTATTAAGCCTCTGTACTTTCTCCTTTTTATTTAATTTATACTTGTTTGCATTAGGTTCAAGAGATCAATTGAATCGAATTAATTCATCAAAGTTAGTTTTTTTATTTGACGAAATTTTCATGATTTATTTGGTTAAATGCTATTTTATAGAACTTAATATTTTATAACTTTATGCATTTCCTTTCTATTTTGTTAGTTTGTAATAAAATCGCATTATGGTTCTCATAGCTAAGACTAGAGTATTAACGTCCAACTAAATTTCTCATGTCTATATAAAAAAAAGTTTTGAATATTTCCTTAATTATTTTGGATTAGGTTAAAATTTGCTTATCGGTCACTTTCTTTCAATTTCAAATCACAATCAACAAGGACGTGAGTCTAATATTGATAATCAGATTATTGCAAAGTATTAAAGTCTAACATCAATTATTTCTTCTAAATGGTAAACTGGCAACGCATGTGCTGTTTCTATGAAGAGATTATATTCCCATTTCAATTCGCGGTGGAATCTAATGCTATATAAAAACCAAACCAAATTGAGAGGTGAACTTCGAATTTATTTTTAATATTATAGTATTCGTATATTGTACTCTTTAATCTTGGCTATTCTTTCACCGTATATACTTTTCAATCTCCTTTTAAATTATTAATTATTTTATATTTTCTCTATGCACTTTCTTTTGGAGGTGTTATCGTTTTCAAAATAATCACATTCTATTTTTACTGCTTTTATTTTGTTTTGTCTATATCTCAACTATACTTATATATTATTGAATATTTTGCTTTTAATTTAAAACAAAAAAATACACTCACTTATATTTTTATATTTATTTGAATTCACTTGCAAGTTTCTTATTTTATAAATTAATGGTTTAAAATTTTACTCTACTAAAAAGTACTGATACAATGCATAGATTTTTCATTCAATTTTGTTTTGCTTCCATAAAAGACAAATAGATTGCAACTCATTTTTTAAAAGTAGCTCAAGAAAGTAGGATTGTGCAGATCTCATAAAGAAAATTTTGGCCATATTTTTACCAAAGATGAGACATCTCAGCACCCTTTTCCTCAGTGATCAATCAGAGCTAGTTTGCTTTTTTCCGTTTGTGCAACCTCATTTACTAAAAACCAGAGGACAAAAATTGCTTTTCTGTTTACATGTAACAAAAAAGCACTCACAAGTACTCCCTCTTTCATGTTACCTTGTGCTCTTACCTCTCTACATTTCCCTCATTCATGATTCGTATCATTTATATCAGTGCATAATAGAAACAATATTCAGCAATAGCCCACACAATATAAGGTTCCATTATGAGAAACAATAGCCTTCATATTATGATTATGTTGCATTTTGAAGGCACCTTAACAGCAAGGTATTTCAAGGGAGAAAAGAACAACAGGGGAGGGACCTATCCCAATAACAATAAATCTTCTCAAGTCTCAATACAAGTTCAAAATTAATCAAAAAAGTAGGAGGATTTAGCAAACCCTTTGTTGTTGAAGTACATAATCCCTCCCTTTTTAATAATCTCATGGAGTTGACTAACATAGATACATAGTATAATAAGAAATGTGCCTGCTTTGTCATAGCTGGCATTCATTCACTGCTTTGTCAGGTGGAAGCTCACCGTTTTCCTTAATGGAGCCATTTTGTTGAAGAAGTTGGTCATGTTGAATGGGACAATTCTGCTCCAGCTCCTCAGCTTTTGCAGCTTTCTCAAGTGCTTGAATCAAGGTGGAGAGGCACTTGTGAGGATCATCCAGTGGGGACTTGGGCATGAGATTTTCAGCAACATCAGCTGGGGTGATGTTGGCCTCATCTATTAGCCTCTTGATGGTGTCAAACAATGGATGAGTTTGTAGCTTAAAGTAATTATTTGCAAGCACTTTAAAGCCATCAAAAGTGCAATAGGAGAGTTGAATGTGTTTGTCCATTCTCCCCCTTCTAATGAGTGCAGGATCAAGTTTCTCCACATAATTGGTTGTGAACACAATCAGCCTCTCCCCTCCACAGGCAGACCAAATCCCATCAATGAAATTCAACAGCCCTGAGAGTGTGACTTTGCTGCCACTCCCTCCTTCTTCCTTGGCCTCTTTCCTTCCAACAACATCCTTATCAGTTTCCTCGTCCGACAACTTATCTGCCTTCTTCTTCCTCTGCCCTGTAAGATCAAGAGAGCAATCAATGTCTTCAATAACAATTATAGACTTACTGGTTGTCTCAATCAGAAGCTTCCTCAACTCTGTGTTGTCCTTCACTGCAGTGAGCTCCAAGTCATAGACATCATAGGCCAACAAATTGGCCATTGCAGCAATCATTGTGGACTTGCCTGTCCCAGGAGGGCCATGAAGAAGGTACCCCCTTTTCCATGCCTTCCCAATCCTTGCATAGAAATCCTTGCTCTTGCTGAAAGTGATCAAATCCTCAATGATCTCCTTTTTCTTCTCAGGCTCCAAGGCCATTGTTTCAAAAGTAGCAGGGTGCTCAAACACAATGTGGCTCCACATCGTCTGCTTGTAACTTGGCCACTTATAGCCAGGGCTATTAGTGTACAACTTCCTCTGCCTGTTCCTCAGACGAATCTCCTTCCCCTCCCTCATAACATGCTCCAAATAGGACTCAGTTATCAGGTCTCTATACTTGTTGTGAAAAGTGAGCTTGTAGAACCTTCTCTCCTGTTCTGGATAATAGGACATTGAAGACCTGCTTGGTGACATTACTTTGCTAGAGACCCACCAAACTTTGACACCCTTGTGCTCATCCGTTACCCTTTCATACTCATCCATAGTCAAAACCAAGTTGCTGCTATCCTTACCCATTTCAGCTTTCAGCCTTTTAGCACTCTTTGATGTGTTGGCACTGAGATATGCCTCCACAGCCGCATAGGCCTCACTGCGCTTTAGCCTGTCTCCCATGTACTCATGGAAGGAGATTCGAATATAAGGGGAAAAGTAACTCATGATCCTATGTGTGTACTTCTCAAAGAAACGTTGAACCCCGTAGGGACAGTACTGTCTCATGATCGTCCACAAGAACATCAAGCTAGCTAAGGTTGACCCCATTGTTGTCCACATCTCACTCATCATCTTCATGTTGCCCTTCTCTTTTCAGGAGGTGGCTGTCAAATTGCTGTAAGGTAAGGGAAAGAGAAAAATTAAAAGGTAGTGAGAGTGAGTATGTGAGTGGGTGGGGATGAGAATTGAGAAAGAATACATAGGCCAGCCAGTGTTTATAACCAAAATGAGTCAAATGACACTACCAAAGCAACAGTGGAGTAATTTTAAAATGAGAAAAGTACAAATGAAATAGAATATTAGGTTCCACTGAGTTATTTTGATTTGGTGGGACTATGTGGAAGGTGGCCCAAAAGCTTAAATTTATGAACTGATTCATGGTATGTTGTGTCTTATTGGACACTGCAGAGAAAAAAAGCTCTGAAACTGAGCAAATTCCTTAACAAAAAACAAATGTGGCCCCTATCTAGCAAGGGTTTTTGCTCATCACTAGTGAAAGAAACTCTCTCTATTGAGGTTGCTGCTTGGCTGTCAATGGAGATGACGAGCTTCTCAATTAAGGCTTAATGGGGTCCTTCTCATGCTCACAATACTTAAATTTCATGTCCTTGTGTCTATTTCTCATTGTTTGATGCACTTATTGTCATTTTCCTCCTCAAGTTGTAAAACATAGCACAAAGACTAGCATAATTCTAAGTTAATAAAGCTATACCACTAATGTTTTCCAAATTAGATCCATGTTACATGTTTGTTTCTTATCCAGTTTTACAATTTTTTTCCACTAACCATTTTATAAGATTTTTTTCATTATTGAACTGTCTACACAGTATGTGACGGATTATTCACTTGTAATAATGACGCAAAGAACTTTGAGGTCATCAAATTGATGTATAGGGAGTAATTTTTATTTTCCTGACATTATATTTTCATCGGATTTGATCAATATCATAGGAGCAATTGATGTATAGGGAGTAATTGATGACAGAATCAAACACACTTCTGCTAAAAAAATTAAAGAAATTTAGAAGCACTATCATTTTGTGTTTCATTCTTTTCTCCCATGGTTGAATAATTTCTCACTTGCAGTTTCACGAAGAAAACTTGTGGACTTGAGCATATTCTGTTCACACTTCATACCTGCCGTCACCTTTGAAATTTGAAGAGGTTGGGTTGACACTTCCATCACATCTCAATCATTTCGAAATAACTTTTTGAAATTTATATTTTGTTGAAATAAGTCAGAATTTAAGTTTTACATTAAATAAAAATAAAAATAAAAAATATTACTGTTCCTGCTAAGGACATGGACCTCGCATAAGCCTCACAGTAGTAAACCTAACTCTCGTCTCTTAATTTATCTGCTCTTCATGTTCTTTCCTTTTTCTTTTCAATCCCTTCAAAGGTTTTACATTAAATAAAAGTAAAAAAAAGTAATCATTATATAAAAAAATTAAATCTATAAGTTTATTGTTTAAATATTTGAGTTAAATATAGTTTTAACAAGAAGTTTAACTCTTAACTATTTGTCTAAAAAGTTAATCAAGTTCATTTTCTCATGTCTTTCAGCATTTGAAAAGTGTTATTTTTTCACTATTTGGTAAAGATAGAAAAGAGAATAAATTTGTTGATATATTCATCGAACCACATCAGTAAAATTACGATTTTTTTCAATCACCGATTTTTGTTTCATTTATGGTTAGATCAAGTTTAAATTTTGACAAAAAGTTCACAACATAGAATTCTTCAATTTTATTATTGAGATCATCAAATAAAGGTTTTTATTAAAGAAATCGGTTTTACATTATTACTCTACGTTTAGGTTCTTTTTTGTTTTTCTTTATATTTAAAAACATTACTAAATTAATTTATTAAATGAATTTATGTGAATTTTATCATGTTTTTGAGTTGATTTTTTTATACTCATAAAAATATTAATGTTTATTTTATGATTATTGTTATCACTTATATTTATTGTTGTTAAGAATTATGTTCGCTTCATATCTTAGTTTTTTTTTTTGCTGTTATTATTGTTCTCCTATAATAATATCTTTATGGAAAACTGACTTTGATCAGTGATGTGATTGTTATAAAATCCATAAAATCAACCATGATATTTCACATGTAAGAGTGAATAGAAGATGATAAAATATGAGGTAGACAACAAAAGAAAGTCCAATTTGTAAGTGAATTATCCTACTCCATTCTCCATTATAGAGCTCCATTTAATAAAGCATCCAAAAACTCAAGTTGCCCATGGGGAAGGGATATAGGCCTTTTTCGGTTATGATGACTTTCATTCAAAACAATATGATATCACAAAGTTTTTTATAAATAAGAAAGAAATAGGAGGAAAAGAGAGAACAGGATAAAAGTATACTGTATAAATTGTTATGTGACTGTGGTATATATTTAACCAAAAATATATGTTAATTATTCTGCTTCAGCTTATTTCTATCTGTATTTCTTTTAATTAAAAAACAAGATTAAAGTTTTGATTAAGTTGTTATTTATAAATATATTTTGTTAGCGACATAAGATTTTGTTTCCTCAAGACTAATTGGGTATGGAAAGAGAGACACATGGAGGGAGCAACACCCCGCGGAATTTGGTATGCGGAACATAAAATTATTGCAAACATGTAACCATACGAATCAGACACTATTTATTCCTTTTTTTCTTTTTTATTTGTTCTTTTGCATTTATTATATTTTGGAAATAATTTACTCAAAAATAATAATAAATGTAAATATCATTTATTATTTTCTTAAATACATTTATTAATAAAAATAATCAGTGTCTCAACTTGAACTAACTTTTTAAATCTTAAAATTAGACTTTTCAGCCAAATCCTCATCCAATTCTCTTTTTATTTATAAATCATGTTATTAATTTTTTTAAAATAATTCATTTAAAAATAATTTTTTTATTATTTTTAATTTCAAATATATTTTATCACGGATAATTATTTTAAAGAAAAACAACTTACTATTAAATTATGTATATAAAAAGTTAACTAACATCCAGATTATATAGAAACATATAATATAGTAAGTCCACATTTTAATATAAGAGAACAGTTAAAAGTGGACTGGAAGTAAAATATTAAAGTTATAGTTAGGGATGACAAAAAATTGGCGACCGCGGATATTCGCGGATAAAATCTGCGACGGATAGTTGATACCCGCAGATATTTACTACCCGCAACCCGCGGGTAGCGGATATTTTAATACCCGCTTATAAACGGGTCGGGTGCGAATATTATACTATCCGTACCCGCGGATACCCGCTACCAGCAAAAAATAAAAATAAAAATTTAATTTATATTTTATTAAGTTAAATTTAATTAAAATTAACATTAATTTATATTTTACAAGATTAAATTTAATTAAAATTGAATTTATATTTATATTTAATTTAATTTATATTATATTTTATATATTTTTTGTAATTCTATTTAAATTTTATTTTAATAATTTATTAAAATATATTTTTTTTAAATACTTGCGGGTATCCGCGGATATCCACGGGTATCCGCGGGTATCCGCGGATATCCACGGGTATCCGCGGGTTTTAAAATACCCGCGGATATTTTTAAGCGAGTATCCGTGCGGGTAGTGGGTGGATTTTTTTTGTCGGGTCGGGTTGCGGGTAGACACTATCCGTACCCGACCCGACCGTTGTCATCCCTAGTTACAGTCATCCCAAAATAAGTCTTATTTTAAAATTTAAACAGAGTAAAGTATTTCAAAATGATAAGGAATAACTAAGAGTCCTAACTAGACTAAGCTGCAGGATCATCTCCCTCCAAAGCTTGCTCCAAAGGCACCTCATCCACCTCTACTCACACCCAAGTGGATAATCATTGCAAAAGAAAAGCATACCCAAGCATAACACAAACACAGAAGCAAGTGTGAGCTAGATATACAAAATCATGTTATAATAATCACATACAATATGCAAATAAAGATAGATATACTATATTATACAATCATGACTTGTTTCTCTTTAAACTTGACTCGTCTGGACTTAGAATGATTGTCGAGCTATGGCGGGTCATGCACTCGTGGTGTCCTCTACTGCTTTGCAAAGCCATTGTCAATGGGTTTCACCCTTCCACACTCACGAGGTTAGTCCGTTATCACTCACCTTGGGCCATACTGGAAGCACCCAAGACTATGACCTCCTGCTACTCCTCACCACATGGATCAATCCTCTCTACTTAAGAATGAAAGACTATTGGAGCGCCAGGAAAATCCCTAAGACTGAGCTACCATGCAAATCATTCTAAACACTAAGGGCACCACCATGAATCTTCTCCTTGAAGATCATGGAATTACGTCCAATAATATAGGGCACCACCATGTAACCTCCCTTTGAGATCTATGGAATTACGTCCAATAACATAAGGCACCACCATGTAACCTCCTTTGAGATTCATGGAATTACGTCCATCAACCATACTGTCACTTTGAAACTTAACTCAAGACATGAACAACCAAATACCATAATATTATCACATCGAATCCAAACATATAGCCTCACCGATCATACAATATCATAGATACTTTTACACCATTCTAATAATCAAAACATAGTTCAAGGTTATCATAAAACAGGAATAAAAAGAATAAAAACAGGTTCTGGGCAAGTCGCTCAGCACACCAAACTCGTTGTGCAAATAACAAAAACAGTGAGTTTTACTCACTCACATTTGCTCAGCGCACCAAGCATGTGCGCTATGCTAAACTGAAAATTCTGCTACACATTATCAAACCCTAAACCCTCGCATAGCACCCCAAATTCTCTATTCGAATTAAACTAGCATTTTCCAGGAAACCACCAGTCGCATAGCGACCATATTCTCTATGCGAATCACCAAACAGAGAGAAACCTTCTCTAGTCATTCGCATAGCGCACCAACTCGCTATGCGAATGCCCTGACAGAGAGCATCTCGCCAGGGTGACTCGCTGTGCGAAACAATTTGCTCAGCGAATCTGCATAATCTGCAAAACGCAAATTCTGCAAAATTATGCAACTCACACACTCTTTACCATCTCTAGTCATTTTCCCCAACTTCTAACACCCGTAATTCGTGTTTTATACTTAATTAAACTTATCTAATTGATCCTAAACGTTCCTACTACATTTCAAAAGGGATTACTACTCAACTTTTACTCCTTAACATCAATTTCCACAACTTGAAGATCCCAAACCCAAATCTAACTCTTTGTACCTATTTGGACCACTTTGGTGACTCAAACAAGTCACAATGCACTGGTTAAGTATGCCCCCAACAGCCCAAAAATACTTTAGACCTCTAATGCTTAA